TGCCGGCGGCCTTGCTGATTTAATTTTTACATTAACGCGCACCCGCGTAAAGTATACGTGTCGGCTGAATTGATCGCGTCGATTGCCGTAATTTTCACGCGTCGATCTAATGGGAAACAAGGTTATTTCGGACACCTCGCGGCGGAGTACCGGNGTGGGGGGGGGGGAGAGGAGGGGGGAGGGTTTTAGCGGCGGCGGTAATTATGGGGGCCCCGTATTTCGAAACGGGCCTCTCGCTCCCATACGTCGACGGAGCTTGTTATTGGCACCGTAAACAACATGATTATCTTCTTCCGCGGTGAAACTCGGCAGAAAAGATTCTATTAATATTTATGACGATCCGGGTGAGCGCGCGATTCGCTTCGACACCCCGCGGAGAGAGGGCCGGGCCTTGCCAAATTATGCGATACCGGGATGAGTTATAGGCTGCAACGCGCGATCGTTTCCTACGCTTTCATTACCATCGGAACATATCTGCTACATTCGTAAGTGAGTGATGAAGACGAATGAGGACGAGTGCATTTATCAATTTCGCGAGCGTCGCGCGGCTCGTGAGACTCCTGTTGGACAAATCACTTCGCTCTACACACTTGGCTAAGGATGCAACTCCGCGAAAAATCCGTAGCTCCGCGACGACGAATCACAGACATCGTACTGCGATTATTCCGCCGCATCTCCGGTCGAAATCTTCGTCCAAAGTTGAACCTTCAGCTTTACAACACAGTGGGAATTAAGATAGTTAAATATACGTATAAGTTCCATTATGATAATATAATTTCTTCTTCTACTTTGACCCTGATGTTGTCTTAAATGTTCGTTTCTGCTGTTTTTAAAGTCGAAAAAGTAAGTCGTTTCCAACACTCATTTAATAATGATTTAGTGAATTTAATCGAAATATAGAGAGCCTAGGCTATCCTTAACCCTTTCCGGCCGGCAGATTCTTCCAGTTGTAATCACTAACTTTTAAGTTCCCTCACTGTAACTCTTGCCGTGCCTGAGAACAAAATAAATTGAAAGAAAAATTTGTTTTCACTTGCAAAAAGAAATTCAGGTCAGAAAGGGTTAAGAGCGCCAAAGTAACATCACGATTTCGGGACGTTCTCCTTATCGTCGATAATTACCGGTTAATTGAGGGTCGGTGGAGAACGAACGAGCGAGCGAGATTCAGCAATAGCAAATCGTGCGACGCGTGCAATTGTAAAACCGCGATATCGTCGTATTGTGTCATAAAATAATGTCCGCTCGCGTGAATTGTAAATGCGCGATTTTAATGTTTCGCGCACGATACGATCTGGAATGGCTAATGGCAGGGAGAATCCGGCCGACGGGGGCACGCAAGGATTTTATGCGAACACGTATCAACATTATTCGCGGCGAAATGCAGGTCGCATATCGTACGATTTCCCGCGGGGGCCCGACAGCCGTTTCTCTTTAATGATATTTAATAACACCGCGCGTCATTCGACATCGGCGCGAAAAAAATCGCTCCTTCGCATCGGGGTCAACGGCGCATCGTACGCTCATTCGGGACATTCCATCACGAAACGAGCTTTTTTCTTTTTATTGCCCCGAGAAATCGCGCATACGGCGCGACGTGCGAACCCGGTGATATTTTATTTCGACGTGTGTCGTACAATATTTTTTACATCTGTCACTGGATTTATACGATAAACAGGATCCAATAATCTACCGGGATTGATAGCCCCGAAAACTCGCCTGCTATTGATACGACGCGGCACGTTTCCATTCGTATACATATTTATTTGTTATAAATTTTAAAACACCGATGTTTACACACACCGGCCGTATTTATTTCTGATGCGCACACATTCGCGTACCATTACGCGCGCGAGGCCGCCGAGTTTACCTCTATGCGGATAAATACGTCGGAGGTGAATTAAACAAAATCTGATTTTCCGAATAATTAGACCGGCCCGCTAAATCATTAAAACAGCGTCCGCCGGATGTATAGCTTCAACAGCCGCGGGTGAAATATTAATAGCGCGGAAAATCGAGTTTATCATTTCGTAAGGTAATAACGAGCCCGAATTAAGCGCTAGACAAATTGAAGAATGAGCATATTAATTACGCTCCCACTCCATTAGAATTTACCGAGACGCCGTCGACCACATTTTCGCGTTACGACCGTAAGTACCGTAAAAATAGAGGGACATTAAATTCCCTCCAGCGACGAATTCCGGGTTAACATTCGCGAAACGGTCGCTCTAACGAGCTCCGCGATAATAAAAGTGAAAGGTGCGCGCGCGTTCGCGCCCAAGTCAGTCTCGAGTCTGGCGTGAGCGATTTTTTTGTCGTGAAAGGGGTTGAAGAAATTGACAGGACGGAAGAAAGGAAGGAAGGAAGGAGGAGGAGGAGGAAGAAGAAGAGGTGAAACGAGAGAGAAAAAGAGATGCCGCGATATTCCCGCTATCTCCGGGCGCCTTCTCAACATGTTAATTGTATATTTGAGGTGAGGCGATAAACAAGGCCTCGTCGGTAGCTCGCTCTTGCCGCGGAGAGTCTTCATTACCAGCTGTAATATATAACCGCAGCCCCGCGGGGGCATTCCCGATTCGCAGAGCGAGTTGCGAAATGCCGAGTACGTACCGGGTGACCTGAGAGAAATCGGCGAACGATCGCGCGATCCTTCCTACGAGCGAGTCACGAGGAAGGATCAATAATTTCTTCCGCGCTTGATTCTCCCCCTCGTTAACTCGCCATCTGAATTTCGGAGGCGAACGTCCCTCTCGTTACGAGCGAGCGCGACGACGTTGTCGCGCAGGCCGACTTTTGCGAAGTCGCCGCACCGGCTAATCGCACCCGGGAATCTCGGCTGTTCATCGTGCCCCGCAGCCTCCTGGGTAAGGGCTCTCGCGGGAAGAAAGCGAAATCGCGTGTGATCTCGGGTTTGAAGACGGTCCCTTCTCTTGCGTTACAGGGTGCGTCGGCTCCTCTCTGCGTTCTTTTATCTCTACAGGCTGTTTGATTGATTAAATAAAGAAATTTGTCTCAATCTCTTTTCAATGAAAATATCTAAACGACAATTTTCGTATTGTAAATATGCATGGAAATTTAGATTCCGGTAAAATCTCGGTTTTTATGTGAATGTCTAGATATTGATCTGTGTCTACAGGCTGAGAGGGAAAAATATTTAAAAAATATTTTCTCTCACAGTGTGACGATCAAAGTGGGTAATCACAGTAGATAATCAAACATCTAGATATTTATGTAAATATCGATAACGAAGTCATCCTCTTTCTTATGTTTAAATCAAACTTGAACTTTTCGCGCAGAATATTTGAGTTCCGCGATTACTCGTAAAATCGTTCCAAGTTCGATCTCAGGAGAGGTCGCGGGAGAAGGTAACATTGAATGGAGAACTTCTGCCCCGAAACGCCGAATTCACTAGAGAAGAAACAGCGGGCCAACCGATGGAATATACGTGGGGGGAAAAATTAGTTTTACATCAAGAATCGATATTTTCATACGTAAGCAAGAATATCATAATCTTCTTAGGACATTTTTAGCCTTGATTCGATTGAATTCATATCGACGCAAGTATTACTTCAACTCGATTCAAGACTAAAAGTCTTCTGAGAAGATTATAATATTCTTGCTTGTATATAAGAATATCTATTCCTGATTTAAGACCAATTTTTCTTCCACGTGGTCTATGGGTCTTGATTGAACTGCCGTTGAAGAAACATCAATTCCGAAGCGGTGAAGAAACATGGGCATGAACGTTCTTTAGGACATCCTGTATACATGTGTGCCGATCGGCCTTCGGGCTCTGAGGTGCGAACCGGTTTCCCCGACTCGATTTTCGACACGAGCTGCGAGCCGAGCCGCCCCCTTCAACCCTCTCGGACTCTTCCGACGGGGTTTCTTACGCATCATTTTTGTCCCCTCGTTGGAGAGAGAGAGAGAGAGAGAGAGAACGAGGCTTTATTCAAGACACGACGTGGCAGATAGCGACGGCACGCCCTCCCGGTGTCAGATTTTATTTATCTCACAGCGGCTTTTTGTTTCACGCTAAATACTCCGGCGTTTAAGAAGGCGGCCTTCCCCGATTTATGGCCGCCGCTTCGAGTTCAACTTCTTGCTCCTTTTCGTCATCCTTCTCGAGTCTTCACGCGATTCACACGGACTCTACGAGGATACTCGTCTGTCCGTCAACGGTTTCCCGTTTTCGTCGGAGGAGCGATCGTTCGTCTTAAACTCGAGAGTACGATTAAAGTCGCGTCATAGTTAAAGAATGGAATGCATTCAATACTACAATCGCTCGCTGAGCGCTCAGTGAACTCTTGTATCTAATTGGCGGGTATTTTGAGATCGAAAGAATACACCAATCGCGAATGTAAGAATTCAGAGTGAGCAGTTATAGTAGAGGAAAAGCATAAAATCGGCACACTATTTTGTTTTCAGGCCTCCAAAAACCCCGTTGAGGGTAAAGAATTAAAATGTATGTGCGGCTGCAAACGTTCCCCTACTAAAATATATTATAATTTTCTGAAAATTATTATATATTATCTTGCAAACGACTACTTTTTTAAAAAATTGCGGAAACAACGTTTCGGAAAAGTAGATCCAAAAACATATCCGTGATACCAGGAAATTTTCAAAAAATAAAATAAGCATAACGAAAACCAGTAAAATTAAAAAAAGAAGAATATAGCTGAACAAAAACATCAGCAGAACGAAAAATCAAACGATTACTGATAACAACCGGACACGTTTGCAAACAAAAAGAGCCATTTCGACTTCAAGTACTGTACACAGTAGATGAAACATTTGTGTTCTGTCTGACAGAGTTCATTACTTAACAACGTGAAGCGCATAATTACGTCGTTTCGCCATACTTGTGTCGGTTCGGTGCTTTTCCTCCGTTGAGCGCACCGAACGAAGGTGTCTTACGCGTGTAAAACAAATGTACGACGAAGAGCTTGAAACTTCGTTTCGGTTCGACCTAACGAATCACCCCCTCTCGTTCTTTGCTCCAGATAAACATGGAGGCGGTGACCTCGACCGACTACGACTCCACGAACCTGAGCCGGAACTTCAATCAGGTCGGCTTCAACACCTACAATTATTCGCAGTTCGAGGAGAAATACAAGCCGCGTCAAATCTTCAAGTACGGCGACGAGTACCTCGAGTACGGGCACAATTCGGTCCGGCTCGGCGAGAGATTCGGACGATCGCAGTCCAAGTGTCAGGACGGTGCGAGGCTCGCCGAGCAGCGGTACTCCCGGAGCCACTCTCAGCCCGAGCGGCAGCACCACCTCGCGCAGGAGACACGCTCCAAGTCTCAGGATTCCCGCGAGCTCACGTTCTACCAGATAGACCCGCCTCTGAAGAACTCGGAGAACCCACGGCAGCCGCATCACGACGTAAAGTCGCATCAGAAGCTGAAGAAGGAGCTGACCTTCTACGAGATAGACGGCCCGTCGGCCGTCGGTCAAGAGAGGAGGGAGAAGCCCGAGGTGTGCAAGGAGCGAGGTGATAAAGGACCCAAGTCCCACGACAAGTCGACCCATGCCGGCCCGGAGAGGCTGCTGGCCGCGAAGCACGGCAGGCACCCGGAACACAACGCGCCGTCGGACTGCCAGCTGAACCGGTCGCAGTCCGATCTCACGGAATGTCAGCTGCCGAATTACTACCGGAATAATCCGTACATCGATCCGCCCAAGTATCGACACTTCGACAGACCGCCGCGCTATCAGGAGACGCCGCCCAAGTATCACGCCGATCCGCCCAAGTACGCCGAGGTGTCCAGACGGCAGGATGACTTTAAGAGGATCCAGGTAAGCCGTAGGGCAGACGTAGGACGTCCAAGTACCTTGGAAACTCGGACGATGCGCGCGCGGGATGGGGGAGTCTTATCGATCGACGCGCCGATAGAGATCGTCCGTTGACATCGTGCGACGCGTGGGGCCGTCCGAGAAATTCAAGTTCGCAAGCTGAAAGCGCTCGTTGGAGCGCAGTTGTACGAACGCTCGTCTCTTAGAGCGAGTCGGCGATAATGTTTCGAATTAACTTGCAGAAGTGAGCGCGCGACTTATGTTTCGCACACAGGTGCTCAGCTTGATCCGTACTTCGATTTACTCATGCTTTATGAGTAAACGAGATCGCTCCCTTCGATTTAAAATCGATTATAAACTGAAACATCAGACGTAAAATAATAATTTTCTCAAACGTTAGAAATCCATATTTTTTTAAAGATTTCTCGATCAATAATTAATAATTCCTTAGCTTGCGAGCACAGACGCTTGAAATGATGGAACGAATTTTAATTATTACTCAATGTGCAAACATCGAAGACAATTGATCGATTATAAATTGATTTTTCGACGGAAGAGGTAATCGAATCAGGATCGCCCCATCGCCTCCGAGAGCGATAAACGCTAACAGAATCAGAGAAATCACGGGTACGCGACGCGAAACGCGTGGAAAAGCTGCAATGCGCGTCGGCGCANAAAAAAAAAAAAAAAAAAAAAAACAGGAAAGAGAGAGAGAGAAAGAGAAAGAAGAAAAGAAAATAGAGCACTGTTCGCGCGCGTTCGCTGTCGGTCGCGTTGCGTCGTTATTATTCCGTTCTCGCGTCGACTCACGTGGTTGCGGCCGGCGGTACGGCCGCGTATGAATCGTAGTACTACACGCCGACTACTATGTCGCGTTATCATTCGGCAGGAGGAGAGGGGCCGACGACAAGGCGGGGGCGGCGGAATCACCGGCAGCGGTGGAGGCGGTAGCGGCGGCGGCGGCGGCGGTAATTCCGGATCAGGAAGGGGGACCGCCGGCACTCATGGCGCCGAGACGCCCTCTAATCTGGCCAGTATCACGCCAACCGCGCGAGAAGCAACACGCGTGGTCGCCACGCGGTCGCAACGTTCGCTCTCTCACAGGACGTGCAATCCGAGCGGCGGCAACAACAACAACAACAACAGCAGCAGCAGCAACAACAACAGCCGAAGCAGCAAAGAGAACCTGCTGCTGCAGGAGGCTGAGGATGATTGCGACGCGTCATTAGCCACGGTTCGATGTCACGTCGAGTCGGTGAAAGGTCATCATCATTATCATCAGACCCGCGGGATCAGTAACGTCGGTAACGCCTTCTCGGATGGCGGCGACTCGTGCGGCGAGATAACGACGTGCGACAAGTACAAGGTCACAGGCTCGGAGCCGAATCGGGGGGCCGAGGCGGCTCAAGGTCGCGAGAGATCCATGCTGAAGATCGAGAAGCTCTCGGGGAAGGTCGGTCTGCACGCTGGCGGCGGTGAAGTTGCGCTCGGCGGCAAGTGCGGCGCGGAGAGGATGAAGTCGACGCAGGAGGCCGGGTATAACAAGCACGAGCCGCTCGGCAAGGCTAAGGGCCACGATGCCGGGCACGGTTACAAGGTGGAGAACCTGCGGTACTACGGCGAGCTGAAGGGCTACGCCGATTTCAAAGCTTACGGCAGTGTGGACAAGCAACCGGCAGTGCTGGTGTCCGCCCACGAGAAGTCGCATCTTCTTCACGCGCCTTCGTGCGACAAGGGTGACAAGTGCCACGGCAAGGTCCCGTCCGGCCAGGGTTACGCCAAGGTCGGCCAGCCGCAGCAGCCGGAGAAGAGCCACCACACCGGCGATCACTACTATCACAGATCGGCGCACTCGAAACCGCCGAACGCGTATCAGGTGTATCAGGAAACCAAGTACTCGTACAACGTGAGCGGGGTGCCCGGGACGCCGGCGCAGGCCAGCGCAGCCGCAGCCTTCTTCGCAAGGTCAGTTCAGTCAACCTATACCTGTGACTCTCTGTAGCTGTGCTCGATAGCACGCGTGTCGACGCACCTGCTGTCGCGACCGAGTGTCCCAGTTACCGGAACGTCGCGGCACCTCCACCAAGGCGGAGGCCTTCCGGTGGTACGGGATGTCCTTCGTCCCGCTGAAATTACGGGGTACGAAGTGACGGCTAGATTTTCGATTCTTTCGCATTTTTCGACGATTACGTCGGAACCCCCCGTCGGATGCTCGACGGAATGATAATTAGGACGAGTGTCGTGATATCTGAAACAAATAAATAATGACAAATCGCACATATTGATACGAAATTAATATCTTTTTTAGCATGTTTCATGCGTGGAGTCACACGTATCAGAGATGAATGATACACGGGGATAAGTTCCATTCGTTGAGTTTCGTCTTTTTTTTTTTTCAGCCTTCGAGTGATTCCGCTTTAAATTATAAGTGTCTAATTTTTCATTATCCGTATCCTTCTCTCGTTTCTGTACGTTTTGTGGGAATTGCCGGAAATAATGTTGCGCGCGCGTCTAATTTCGATATCGCACTGAGATTTTCCAAAGTTTATTTATCATAAAGTTTATATATTAGTTAAGTAAATTTCCCAAAGTTTCAAGCTCCGAGACACGTGCTTCTTTCATTTCAGTAATTTCGAAACGTTTCGTGCTTCTCAGTACGAATACGCGTCAACGATTGATTCGTGATAAACACGAATAGAAAGACGACGATTTCATGACATTAAAACAGTTTAAACACGCGAAAGTTTAGCTCGGTCATTACGGCGGTTTTTGTTTGTTCGTGGAAATTTATATTCTCGTCAGATATGCCCCTCTCTCTTTCTCTCTCTCTCTCGCGCGCGCGCGCGAAACGACCAATTTATAGCGTCATAACCGTGTGTATACACCTCGTATTCCGTTAGCGCATATCTAGCGAGTAAACGTAAAAATCGAGCGCCCAGCATTTTTCATCGTTATCAAGCAGGTCTGCTTCTTCGAGCGTGAACGCAATCGGCGGCAATGCTCGCGATACGTTAGCAAAGGTATTATTTATTACGCGAATCGACGCAGCTTGTTTGTTCGCGGAGAAATCTATTAACTCTAAGCGCTAAGCTATCTCCCCCGGGCCCGGCATTTAAATTTCGTTTTAATCGACAAAAAGCCAATGCACTCCGATAAACGAGTCTGAGCGAAATTCGAACACGTGCGATTTAGCAAAGCCCCCGTGGCGCTGGGCTTTCGAACGCCTTGCTCGCGAGAACGCCACATCAAACGAGCGACTCGTTACTTTGTGTCTTCCTCTGTCTCTTATTCATCCGGAGCAACGAGTTTTCCGTGTTTTAACGCGGATAATCGCGATTGTACGGGCGCAGCCAGCTGCGGAATATAATACGCGGCTTTAAGCCCCAGAGTGCTCGCCTATCTAAATGCAACGCGAGTGGCCGCGTGGGCGACACTTTAAACTGACGTTTTTTTTAATAAAAAATCGCTTCAGAAAGTAGCAATGTTTATTTATACAGGAATAACAATGACGAGAGGTCTGATTTAAAACAAGAAACTTTTAGCTTCTTTTTCTCAAAATTGAAGAACGAAGAATTTAAGAACAAATTGGGAGGAAGTCACGAGTGGATCGATATTGTTTTGGGTTTATCGATATAAATAAATTGCTCTCACGTCTTTTATGAACCCCAGCCAACAAAATAACACAGCATTAACAACTAATGAAATGATGTGAAAGATACGTGATTTTGATGACAATGACGTCATGCGACTTAAATAGAATGTAACTTCAACGTGATTTTGGGTACTAAAATGGTACATCGTCACGTCGGAAAGATGTGTCGTCAACGTCGAATATATGTGGACGTATTTTGTATATTCAAATATTGACATGGCATTGTGCAAGCGCTGTTTTGATGAGACTATAACTCAAACAGCATGTAATATCGCAGTAATATTACTGAGATATTAAAACGGGATACATATAATATTTCTGTAATATTCGTATTATGTTGTAATGCGATAAAGATTTTGAAGTATTACTGCAAAATTTCGCAAATATTTCCATGTGATTTATCCCACTGTAATTACTGATATTTATGAAATACTAGGAATACACAGATGCGCGTTATTTTTAAGTTAATAAATATTCTATTACCTGGAAAGAAAAAGAAGAATTTCAGTTTATGTAATTGAAAAGCACAAACTATACGAGGAAAAAGTTTGCTGGTTCAATTTCGGCGCGCCCTGTATAGATAATTTAATCATCCTTTTCAAAGCAAGTATCACATACATAACTGCAATGTTCCGGAGGTCCAATCTGTACATCTTTGGCGTGATTTGCTAGCGGCCTCATCGCTCTCTTCGGTAAAAGGAAACAACTTCACGCTTCCGGGCGCAGGTTGTTTCCAATTTCCCGCAATGGACAAGAGCAGTCCCTAAGTGACAAATACACGGAGGTGGAAGATGGATGCTTGTTAGTATTTCTCGGAATGTGCATTTCTGTAGGGTTGAGCTCGCGTCGTCGTCATTTCTTCCTCTTTCCGCAAGTGGCTGGGATCGCGGAAGCTCGATCCTCTCCGACCCGTCGGACTTAAAAAGCACGTTTTCATCGCACCCCCACGAAGTGCACGCGACCATCCTTCCCGGTTAGGTCGGAGCTTTGATCTCCGGCCCGCGTATTCCCGACGTACGCACATTGCGCGCGCGCGCGGAGCTTGCGTGCGAGCGAGCGTAAATCGCATGTGGTTTACGTGCGAGGAGAAAGCTCTCTCCCGCGGCCGCAGCCATCTTTTCCCCTTAACCTTAGGCGCGACCTCAGCCCTTTAATAACCTTGCTCATAGCTCGTGGATATTGTAAAGCACAATGGCATTCTTGGGGCCGCCCGCTCTCACCCCCCTTCGCCCGTCTTTCCACCTCCGTCTCGCCCACGTCTTTGTATGTGTATCTGTCCTCCTCTCGCTCTCCATAGAAATCACCCTCGCTCGTTCCTCCTCTTCTTGTGTGTATACGTGTGTATCGCGCGAATCCGTGTAAGTTATTAGCGGCGGCTAATTACGAAGTACGCTTAATAACGACGTACGTCGAATCGAAAATTTTCTGGACGCTCGTGGGTGGAGAGGAAAGGAGAGGGTGGGAGGGGATGCTTGAGGGCGGACTGCCGGTTAGCGGCGGACTTGGAAACGCCGGCGAATTATTCAAAGCGAATAGGACTGTTATTATCCGGATGTTCGGCTATCCATGCATATAATAAGCCCGGGCTTTCAAAGCGGCCACGGCTTTAGGCTTACGCGAGTTTTAACAGCGTTGTTACGCGGCCGTAGCGATGACGCTCGGTGATCGAGGCAATCCGACGATATTCAAGTCTCAATCGGCCACGATCCGAACATGACGCGTCCACGGATCTGTCCTTTCATCTCCCTTTAATCTCTCTCGCGCGCGCACGCGCGCGCCTAATTATTTGGCGTCAAAAGTGATGAACGGGTGTCCTCGCCGCGCGTTGTCGGCTCTTTTGAAACGCAGCCGATTCCGCGCGATATTCCGAGCGGAAAAACACCCTTCAATCGTTAAATCTGCCTTTTTCGTTCGCTCATGACCATCGGAACAAAGTGAATCTCCTAATTAATAACAGCGTACCAATTTACGACAATTGCGTGTGTTCCTAATAAATTAGGTAACATTTATAAGCTCCATATTTGTCCCGAAAATCGTGTTTTCACTCTAAATTTTATATGCTATTCGTCACAACACGTTTGCAACTTAACACACGTGTACTATTAATTTATCAACTTATTCTCGCAATAAGTTACTTCGCCACTAATTGGGACATTATCCTCGTAGGATCATTGTTATTCAGCGGAGGAATATCGCGCGACGATGCATCGTTGAAACGTAACTTCGCGGCGTTTCCCTTCTCGCTCCCTCCACCCCCCTCCTCNCCCCCGATTGATTGTGTCAATCTCCGGGAACAGTGTTTCCTCTTGGCGTATTTTTAGCTTTACTACGCGATCCTGAGCCAACCGTCGTAAATATTGTAGCACCGCTACGTGCGTAGAATCGTGACGTATAGCGTGCGCTATTACAAGTCGGTTAGCTAACCAGTCATTAACGTATAATAGCGTATAGCGGGCGATTGAACGGTCGTGCCTCGGGTTCGAATGATTTCAATGCACTCGTCTCGAGACAGTGGCGCCTGTCCTCCATGTACTGTCTCTCTCTCTCTCTCTCTCTCTTCCTCCCTCCGGTGCCTCCTTCCTTTTGCTCCTTGACGTTTCCTCAGAACCGGCGCTCGCACTCTCGTAGGAAGTCGCCGTGCGACGAGAATTGAAATTAATCGCGCGCCATTCGTGCGAACGTTGATGACGCTCGACAGCGTGTTGTTTTTTTTTTCTTTTTTATTTGTGTAATTATGCAAATTGAACTACCGAATTAGTCGTCTTTATATCGTATTTTGTATTGCCGGTATCTCACGTTTGCACTTTGCTCGCTATCCTGTCGGCGTCGCTGTTAATTGATATTTATGAATGCGTTAATACACTCCAAGTAGACGCAAACGTTGACATCGACGGAGCAACATTGCAGTTTACAACCGGCGATGCGTGCTAATGGATAGCCTTTTATGAGTACTAATGAACGAACCGAGAAAGATAGCTGGAATTGCTTTGATCGCGAGGCGGCGAGCACAGTTAGAGTTACACACGTGGTGCGCGCATGAGACTCGCGTTCGGAATTAACAGTTTCCCCGCAATCTCGTGCCGATCGTACACTGAGAAAAATGTCCGGTCTGATCGGATAATCCGATCGAGAAATAACAAACGGAAAATATATCCGATCGAGTCGTGTTTCGATGCGATGAAAATCACAGCGGATATACGAAAGGCGTCTAATTTCCCGATTAAGTTTCATCGGACAAACTGTGTCGTCCATTACTTGACCGGATGATAAAAGTAACAATCGGACACATCGTTTAATCGGTTCATCCGATTGG